ACGGCTTCTGCAAGCTACCGCTCGCATGGTAGCGGAGCCTCAGTGAGAGGTTCCACGGAAATCAGTCTTGCAACGATCCAGGGCAGTGGCTCAGAAGCGCTGGGGCGCATCTGAGAATATGAGCGGGGAGTCTGAGAAGGACTCTGCAGCAAGCCGGTCGAAGGACGGCGTGCCGTCATGGAACGGCGAAGCTTCGTCGTTTGTGGCCTACGAGGAATCGGCACGCCTCTGGGAACAGGGATTGGTCTACAACAAGCGCTATACAGCAGCACCACGGCTCATGGCCGAACTGACTGGAGCTGCTAAACGTCTGGTCGCCGGCAAGCCGGCGGAAGACGTAGCCTTTGTTGGTGGGGTACAAGTCCTCCTGAGTTTCCTACGTCGAGCACTCGGAAAGCCACAGGTGACAGAAGTCACAGACCTCCTGGGGAAGTACTTCAAGGGTACGAGAAGGAGGTCAGGGGAATCCATGAATGAGTACATCACTCGGAAGAGCGAAGCATTCATGAGGGTGAGCCAAGCACTCAAAAGAGTGCAACCACACTACCGCCGAGGAAACCGGCCGGAGGGTACCTACTACCGAGGACGACGAGGCAGCGATCCGTGGAGCTTTGCGGGAACTACGACGTGGAGCCGCCAGACGACGGATGGACAAGATGACGACCAAGATGATCGACAAGAGGCGGCCGCCGGGAATGATGGTACGGATGACGGTGCCACCACCGCGACATGGGGCCAGGGGACTACCTCGGCCTGGAGCTGGAACAGTGGTTGGTCCTACAGTGGCTGGTCACAGGGCAGCTGGGACTGGTATGCGGATTCGTGGTGGTCCGGGAACCGGCCCGGGGCCAGCACAACACCTCCTACCTGGAGCTCCTTGGAGGCAGTGGAGGATGAGTCCTTGCTTCCTTCATTTATCCAGGGGTGGTACCTCTTGACAGATGCGGCGTTGGACAGCGCCGAGCGCAACATCATTACCACCGCATTGGGCGGGGACTACTCCCCCGCACGGGTCGCTCAGGAACTTCGGAACCAGTTTCCCGAGCACGAGCTTCGTCGAAAAGACCATGGACGGCGCTCTCATGCTTATGTGAGCACCGAGGATGCCTATGAGGACCACGACGACGATGAGGAGCCGGACGCTCTTTATGGTGACGATCTCACAGAAGAGGGCGTCGCCATGCTCGCCGATGCCGAGACCGAGGAGCAGCAGGCCTTGGCAGCAATGGGGCAGGCACGCCGCACCCTTAAGGAAGCCCGCATGCGACAGCATTCTGTGAAGATGAACAGACAGTACTATCGCAGCAATGAGGCAGGTGGATCCCGCGGCTCAGGCGGCTCCTACCGCGCATCATCGACCACAGGAGGCAGCAGCAGCAGCGCAGGAGCCTCTCGGGATGCGAACATGATCTGCCTGGGATGCGGCATCAAGGGCCACAGGGTTGCTAACTGTCCCAACAAGAGCAAGAGCGATGCACACCAACGACGCCGAGAACCACGACAAGCAGCACGCGCCCTTCGTGTGCTACGCGGAAACAAGTGAGAGCGCTCTCACTGTGTTTCCCTCTACCTCCCAGGCTGTCAACGAGGGCTATGCAATTATCGATGGCGGGGCCACGAAGACCTTGGGCAACGTCCATGCAGTCGAGGCCCTTCTCCGCAAGAACCAAGAGCACTATGGCAACCCACGACTCGCGGAGGTCGACAAGAACAACCAGCCCCTCTTCGGCTTTGGGAACAGCTCCGAGGGCCGGTGCATCAGTACATGCAAAGTTGGTGTGCAAGCTGGTGGTCAAGGTGGGCATGTGCAAATACATGCGTTGAACGAGGGAACGGGACCCATACTCCTCAGCATCGATGCGCTGAGAAAATTGGGTGCCATCGTGGATTTCAAGGAGGACCTCCTCGTGTTGACCGCGATCAACGACAAGAAGATCATCCCACTTCGCCGGTCCTCCACAGGCCATCAGCTCTTGTCGCTGGTAGAAGACCTTTTTCATGAGGCCCACGATGCGAAGGACCGGATCCCGAGCTTGCGAAGTTTTGTTTCACAGTCGTAGGGACAGCTCCTCCCGGATCTCGATCCTGACGAGAAAAGGGAGGTCACATGTAGAGTTTCAGGAATGGGTAGAGCAGGAACTTCTGAAGACGGTTGTGTTGTGGGTAGGAGCGAGGGAGTTTGTTTAGACATGACACCAGTGGTGCGAGAGCTAGCAGTGGAAGCAGCAGACGTCACAGTGGCAGCGGTTGTGAATGACCCGGTGAGCACCCGCCTTGAACATGCAAGTGTTTGCCGTGCTGCCAGCTTGCCAGGCTCAGAAGCTCTCGTTTGCGATCAGTTTGCTCCTCTCCCGGTGGCCCGACATGGAACGCCTCACTCGCCCCGAGTTGGTGCTCCACCTCCGAGCCTTGGGCGAGGAGAGTCCCGAGAACTGGACTCGCCTGGAAATCAAGCAGCGCATCCAGGAGATCAACGAGGAGACACCTTCCATGGCGACGGCGGCCCCCAACAAGACACCGTTGGAGACCCAGATGGCACAGCTCAGCAAGAACAGCCGCAAGAAGAGCACGCTGCGCGAGCACTTGGAGAAGGAGCTGAACATCGAGGTGTCCGACATGGACACCGTGGCGGCCATGCAGCGCAAGGCCACCAACAAGATCCTCCAGGAATGCCCGGTACATGGAGCAGATGCGATGGGGTTTGGGAAGTACTCCCAGCTCAGCCTCCAGGAGACCTACCTGAAGGACCCCGACTACTGCCGCTGGGCGCGCGCTACCAAGGCGGAGGGCCCGTGCAACATCCGTCTGGAACGATTCGTGCGCTGGCTGGAGAAGGCCGAGGAAGAGGGGGGCCCCAAGGACATGATGAACGAGGTGATTCCCAAGCCTTCGCGTCCCAAGGCCCGCAGCTACAAGGCGCAACCCTCAAGCATGGCATCCAGCAGCAGTGCACCACCGGTTCCTGTGCCAGATCCTCGCGACGAGTTGCTGCTCAAGATGACAGCAGCCCTTCAAGATCTACGAGAGGAAGTGGATCAGCTGCGAACCGAGAGGCCTCGCAAGGTGACGTCGAATGCCGAGAAGTAGACGATCAACAAGAAGCGAGTCCTGCCGATGATCTCGGTGGGGACAAGACTCAGTTTTTGACCTCGACAGCAGCCGCAGCCTTAGAACATAAGTCGTGGCGCACTCTTCCTCAGGCTTTTCAGGAGTTGACCGGAGTGGAGAGGTTAAAACTTCTAGAGTGCAGCTGTGACCCGGAAAGCCTGTTGACACAAGTGTTTCAGCAGAGGTCTGGGAAGCATGAGAGTGCGGCTAGAGCATCGACTTGGAACGGTGCCGATCTGGCCACGACAAAGGGCTTGCAGTTGTTGCTAGAGCAGATTCGGGTGCTAAATCCCGAACATGTTTGGATCTCTCCCCCGGACAGTGCTTTTTCTCCCATGCAACGAGCTAATCAAAGAAACCCTCAACAGGTGAAGGAACTCAGGCTTAAACGTGAACAAGCCATTAGCATGTACCACAACGTTCGTGAAGTTATGAAGGTGTGTACACAACAGGGTATTCATTGCACCATGGAGCTTAGTGAGCGAAGCGAAGCCTGGCGTCTTCCCGTGATGCAGGAGATTCAACATGATTTGGGATACCATGTTTCAGTCACGAAAGGTTGTAGTGTGGGGTTGTCGGATGGCCAGGGCCGGTTGATTCAGAAAGGTTGGAGATTGGTGACTTCACACAGACGGCTGGCTGATTGCATGCATAAACGTTGTATGTGTCCGACTTCATATACACATGCCAAGACCGAGGGTGCCAGCATGAAGCAGACGGCCAGGTATACTCAGGAGTTTGCTCGGTTGGTGTATCAGGCACTTCAGGAGGAGTTGAGTTTCTACGGGTTGCTTCAGGAGTGTGAAGGTTTGAGTTCGCTTTCGGAGGTCTTCGGTCGAGGGGATTTGTGCACTTGCGAAGATGCTTTCTTGGAAAAGCACCAGCTTATGTGTGGAAGCTGTCTCTTGGGAAGAGATGTTGTTCCTTGGGCGACAGAAGACCCGGAAACCGCCGCAGCCTTTCAAGCTCATCTTACCCAAGCTCACTTTAACCAAGCTCCTCAAGCGCCAAGCGAACTGGAAGCCCGTAAGATTCGACAAGGTCCACAGGTGAATCTCCACAGTCTGGAAGCGTATCTAGGAACCCACGCCCCCCGACAACATGCCTCTCGTAGGCACCAGGTGGTGAACAAGCAAGGCTCATACTTCACGTATGGTGCTTACTCCTACGGAAACCAGTACGGTTTGACTTCCAGAACCAAACAAAACCCCGAAATGGTCCGGATGATCAACAAAGTGATAGAAGCTACTTTCCCGGAAAACTTTGTTTGGACCGCCTTCACGTTGAATCTCAACTCGGCTCTCCCGATGCACAAGGACTGTCACAACCATGATAAGTTTCCCAACTGTAGTGTGGGTCTGGGATCTTACAAGGAGGGAGAACTTTGGATTGAGGCTTCGGAAGGTGAGGTTGAGGGTATTTCGGAAGTTCGGCGGAAAAGTTCTGGCGAAGAGGTTGCAGGTATCAAGGTGGACATTAGACATAAGCCAACGATGTTTCATCCGAAGCGGTGGCACCAAACTTGCGAATGGCAGGGCCAGAGATGGGTGCTGACTGCGTACGTAAGTCGGGGATTGCAGGAGTTTTCTGAAGAGGAGTTTCGGAACCTGAGGGCGCTGGGCTTCAGGGTTCCCCCTCGCAAAGCTTGGAGCCTTGAAGCAACGTGTCCTGTAATGCCAGCTAGTGAGCATCATGTATCCACAGGATCCAGCAAGGCCTCCGTAGCTCCCGATATTGGACCCGAAATGCCCGAAACTGCTTATGCTGTGGGCGAGGACCCCCAGCCTCCTAGGAGTGGGCAACGTAGGGACGATGAGCGCATAAGACGACAGTTGCACTTGCTCACTCAAGCTCACCACTGTTGTCAG